AAATCACGATTATTGGAGAATACGTGAAAGTAGCTCTATCAAGTACTAGTGCAGGGACTGAAAATTTAAATTGACAAAAAAAGTTCAATTCATTTTGCTTATTAATCTGTACGTAGAAGGAAATTAAGATGGATTATAGTTGTGTTGTTTTAGTAAAGCAAGTACTAGTGAAGGACCAAGGGAATTAATGTATGTTTCTATTGTCAAGATATCTTTAATTGTTCCTTTTTTTATTTAGATACTACGAACTACGAAGGATTACAAAAATGTGTTGGAATACACTCGAAGACGGGTCAATATTCCTCTGATGAAATAGATAAGTTGGATGCTTGTACTTATATTGTTTTGGTTTTACAAGATCAAATTATTGTAAATGTTTTGGTTTTATATGTTCTACTTGTATTGTTTCTATATGTTAATTTACATAATTTACACGGCATGTATAAAATAACAAGTTTTAATACTCAAGAAGTTGGGTACCCGAAACCGGTTCCAGTGGTTCCGGGAGCGGTTCCAATTTTCTAGGAATCGGTGTAGGCGGTTTCGGTTCCAATACCCAAAACCTAAGAACGGCCGGTTCCGGGAGCGGTTCCGGTTCCAGCTAAAATAGGCGGGTACCTGGTTATGCTCATCCTTACAACCTATTGATCTATGGTTTCAAACTAATTACATCTACCCTAGAAAACCGGAATACAAAGGAAGAATCACATACCTCTTTTGCGGCCAAAGATCTTCGTGCTTGACTCCTCGTGCGTGACACCTTGTTTGGATGATGAGGACCCAAACCAAAATCTCTCTCTTGGTTCACACCCAGTGAACTCAAAAGAGTATAATCAAAAATAACTAGTAGGGGATGAACTATAAGGATAGTTCTTCCACAAGGAGGGATAAAGAAGTGGCGAAAAATCAAGCTAAAGCTTGAGCAATGAAGAATGAATTCCTAAGGCCCTATTTATAGTCTTGGATACCTTCCAGGGTTTTATCCTCAAACCCATGTGGGATGGATAACCCTATGAACGAAATTCCCCTTATCCAAAGGGAATTTTCATCCACCACCCTTCTTCCTAGGGTTCTGTAATATTCTTGATTAATCAACTATTGATTAATTGATATTCAACTCTTCTATTAATTAATTGTTAATTAATTCTCAAATTGTTTTCCAATTAGTTTCTAATTAATTATTAAACCATAATAATTAATAAAGTAATTCCTCATTTATTTATTCCACTTAATTTGAGTCTTGAGGGCAACCCAAGAGGGCCCTGTTATAGTTAATGACCTTGGACACACTTTCCAACACCCTTCACAAATATGTCAACATATGCATATTGCAAATAAACAGACAATTCAACATCACAGGTAACAGTCTACAAATCTATCTGCCTAATAGCATACAATAGCCTAATCACATCCTAGCACACTAGGACACATACTGCAATATATAGTATAATGAGGAAACTCACCTCACAGTCCAGTAGAAAAACACCACAGCTTACAGAGAAGTAAAGGTTGGTGCTACGAACCACCAAAACACCAATAAGGGTTAAATCCTTAAGTTGACCAAAAGTCAACTTGTTCAAAAGTCAACGGTCAAGATCAAAGTCAACAGTCGAGTCACCATGTTGTGGCCGACTCCATAGTCGTGTCGTGATGGATAAAAGACAAAATACTCGTTTTTTATCCCGCCACCACGTCATGGTCTACAACTTGTCGCATCGTGGTCATAGCTCAAAACAACTTAATGGGTTAAGCACTTAACCCATAATCACCAGAGCTTAAAAGCTCGAATCTGGTCCTTCTAAAGGTCTTGATGGATAAAGTTTCCAACATTATCCATCAAGACATCCCATTAAGTCAAGATCTCAAAACTTAAGTTCTTAATGGTTACACCAAGTTCATGAACACCAAACTAGGTCATGCAATCAACATTTCTAACCAACTCCAAGGTCCGTAAGTCATCAAATAGACCAAGAGGTTTTGGAGTTCACTCCAACTCCAAGAACATGGTCTTTGGGACAAAAAGCTCATAAAAGTGCTCAAAACTAGATCTAATCATATGATAACCAAGTTAGGAGCTTTACCTCAAATGGGCCAGAAACTTGATGGAAACTCTAGATCTAAGTTGCGCCTTTGCTTCTTTTCACCAAGAGGAAGCTTCTTCTACTTCGAACTAAAAAAAATAGATGTTACAATAACGTTCAATCATTTCTAGAAAAGAAGTGTGGTTACCAACCCGATTAGTTAGTAAAGAATAACTATCAATATCTAACTCTGTGTTGTTCTCCAATTCATCACTTGTCCAGACCTATTTGGACAATTTATCAAGTTCATTAGAACTTGTCTATTTTCACTATATATCAAAAACAATGAATCAATTATCTAATCACTAACTAGACTATGTAACTATTTGTCACCGAACTAGTAAAATATCCATATATAATCACATAAAGACTTAACCTCATAAACCATTAACCAAATCGACAAATCTCGGTAAACTAAGGTGTATAACCCATACCAACCAGATTAACATTTAACTAATCATCAATTCATAATAGCACCATAATATGAATTCCTGTAACACATGCGGGGTCTAACAACCCGCTACAAAATACTATGTAAACATAATCACGTAACAAAGAGATAAAAGTGCCTCAACTTATCTCTAACTCAACCTTCATACCCCCGCACACTAGTACACCTCTGCAGTGATAAGTCTTCGGAAACACCTCTCGGGCCTTTCCCCCGACCGCATATGCCCAAGAAAATCAACCAATACACAAACAACAACTATTTATATGCTCTAGCCTCCGTGCCTCGCCAAGAATGTGGTGGCTCCGCAGGCACGTGATTCTTCAAAAAATTGTAGCGTATCTTAGATGTCGCCATGTGTCGCATACGATCGCCACATGTCCTGGTGACTTACTTCACCTCCGCGTTGCAATGAGAACTAAGTCGCCCCGCGACGAACCGAAATTGACAGTTTGATTTTTGTTGACTTTCTCAGAATAGCAACATACTTTTATCCTAACTTCAAACGGTCATAATTTCTTCATACGAATTATGTTTTTGACGATCTTTATATCTACAAAATCATCCCAGATTAAACTATCACTTTCTTCAACTAATACATGTTTATTCATACATACATATTATGAAAAACAGGTGTTATACATTAACAACTTATTGCCGTGAGTTGGACGGTTTCGGTCATATGCTTCTCCAAATTTGTATTCAATTGTGTCACGTGTATATCATTTCATCGGATCGGTTTAACAACTGATCACGACCGATAAATTTGAAGTTGTTGCTTTTCCTTTTCCTTTAGCTTTTGCTTTGTCCCTTCCCATGGGACGAGGAGGTAGTTGTATTTCTTTAATGACATCGTTGTCATCATTAAGGTTGACATTGATGTGAACATCCGATGACATTTGTTTTGAGCTCAAATATGTAGATGTTTCGTTTCTTTTTTAAGGCTTGGAAATTTTTTCCATTGTTGCCAATTCCTTCCACCTAATACTTTTTTGACAACACCTCAAACATGTAAGAATTTAAACGGCTTTAGCATGTCGTCTTGAAACATTGTGTGAGTTTTTTCAACAAAGATATCTCACTTTCCCCGCTAACCCGTTGGTTTTCAAAGTTTGTGTAAATTTTGTTGCGATGTGTAACAAGATTGTTTATATTAGCTCATTTTTTGTTACATTAGTCACGCGTCCGATAATTATCACCTTGATTCATACCCCTACAAAACCACTCCATAACACACATCCAAAACCGATCACGCGATTGGTTCTTCCCGGTGCCTCCATCTTCCGATATGTCGACCCAAGCCTTATTTAATTTTGTGTCTTCTTTTTAAGACTATCTTCTACTTTCGGCCCTCCCTTTTCTTTTTGGTTGAGCTTTTTTTTCGGGAAATGGGTTTCGATTGATGGTGTTGAAGTTGGTTGGCATTGGAGTTATAATTGGGTTTGAGTTTCAGTTGAGAGTGTTGTACGTGATGGTTGGGATTGGAGTTAGAATTGTTGTGGCAATGGGTTGACATTTGGTGGAAATAATTGGTTGTGGTGACATAGTAAATTGATGGATCTAATTGTGAGTGGTAAGGTGGTAGGCGATGATGGATTGTAAGTGAAGAGTAAATTTGGGTTCGAAGAGTTGGGAGCATTTGGGTTGTGAGAAGACATCTTGAAGAGAAAGTGTGTAAAAGGTTTGTATTTTGTACTGATTAAATAGAAAAAAAATTGGTGTGTGTGTGTGTG